ATCTTGATGAGAGGAAGGATCTGGGTGACACACATTAACCTGTTTAAGCGAGATCTTTGCTCTTCATGGCAGCTGAAAGTTTCATTAGACAAGCCAAATGATTAGCGATCCCCCGACAAGAACAGCTTAAGTGTTTTGACTCTGTCTGTACAGCGGGTGCAAATAAAGAGGTTGAAATAAAATGGTACAAAACTGTGCCAATTGCTGCTTTTAAACTTAATGAGAGCAATTGACTATAAAACTGCAGCTGTGCAAACGTAAAGCTCTGGAAGTCTCAGTTCATCCCACACTGCATAACATTATTTTCTTATCAGTATTTCTGTCTTCAGAATATCTAAACATCGTTGAGATACATTTGAGATGCAAATAAGACTAATAAGATTAACAAAAAACATGATGCTACATTAGTGCTGACCTAGTTTCTCAATTAAATAGCCTACCTTAAATGATAAATATAATTATTAATATTTATCAGTTGTCAAATTAATGCTGTTCTTTTGAACTTACTATTCAGCAAAGAATTGTGAAAAAATTGTGTTTCAGAACATTAAACATTAACAGATGTCTTCCTATAATAATTTTGTGCAAAAACACGCAACACAACAATTGATTTCAACATTTACTGTCCTTATACAGTCCGTATCAAAGCATGCTGGGAAAATCAGATTTTCCTTTTTTTGTTGTGCAGAATTGTTAATGAAGTTACTCAGTTTCTTAAATTATTGTTAAAGATCAGGAATATCATTTTTTGATTCATACTTATGAAATACGTAATAATTGTAGAACTTGAAACTTAACAGGATAATTTCTCCATTCACTAATATTTTGATTGACAAAAATATTAAATATATCTTAAAGGGGTCATCGGATGCCCATTTTTCACAAGTTGATTGTGTGTTGTATTAGAAACTGACCAGAATGTAATAATTGTCTCCTCTACCCCAATTCAAATTTTGCGTACTGGCAATTCAAATATAGTACCATGCCAGGTTTGATGTAAATAATAGCAAATATCATTGATTCTCGTGGTGTGGCTCGCCAAATTTGAATATGTGCATATTTAAAATGCATAAATAAGATCTGAGAGCTGGTGGAAGGGAAGAATATCAATGAATAAATTTCGGTCTGTTCCCCCCCACACAGGTATTGTATGCCTTCAGGCGACTTAATATAGTGCACATGTCACAGACTACTTTTATGGTACTTTTCTAGTGTTTTGACCTTTTGAGAGCTTGACACCCCCAGTTTCCATTCGCTTTCTGAACAGTAGCCATTCTATTATTCAGAAATGTACAGTAGCTTTAGAAAAAAGAAAATCAAATGGGTTTGAAACGACATGAGATTGAAGGAGAACATGACTTTTTATTATATTATCACCTATTTTAGGCACTGAACTCCTACTTCACCTGTAAACAGTAATGAATCTGTTCTTTATTAGCATCTGTAGTTCATGAAGAACATTTAATATCCAAATAATTCTATTGCATAAAAGGTTCTTTATAGAAGAAAGGGTTCTTTAGATTATTAAAACGTTCTTAACATTAAGAAAAACAAAAACTCTTTACTGAAAGGTTCTTTGGAGAACCCAAAATGGTTCTTCTGGCATTGCTGCGAGCAACCCCCCCCCCCCCCATTATGTCGAGTGTATTACTCATTGAGATACTGAGTGAAATACTCACTGCCTTAATGCTAAAACGTTTGGTGTGGTTCCTTAATGGACCAAAAATCAAGTCAAAAATCTTTGGTCTCTAGATATGCTGTATTTTTAATTAATAACATTAACAAACATTGTTACATTCTGCTATACCATTACATACTTTGGTTAAAATTTCTCAATAGTAGTGTAAAAAAACACCCTTTTTACCCAATTTAGGTCAACCAATTACCAAGCAATACTTAATTTTGTTCAGTCTGTGGTGTAAAAAGTTCACATACACTCTTAAAAATAGAGGTGCTTAAAAGGTTCTTCACAGTGATGCCATAGAAGAACCATTTGTGTTTCCACAAAGAACCATCTCTTTCTTACCTTTTTATAATCTGAAGAACCTTCTTTCACCACAAAGAACCTTTTGTGAACCAGAAAGGTTCTTCACATGTTAAAGGTAACATAATGAAATAATAATAATATTAATAACAATAATAATGATTTGTGGAAATCAAAAACAGGATATTTAATGAATACCTGGAATAATAAATGATAAAATGCATTTCTTTCAGG